CCCTACTCCAGCTTTCTTCCTGCTCCACCCCACCAACCTCCGCCACATACAAGTTACCTTCACAGGGGAAAGTCACTTAGGATTCTTGAACGATTTCACACCATTTTGAAATAAAGCCCTACAAGGTACTGGCCTTTCGGTCTTGTGATTTTGCTTTGTAATTGGTGTATTAGAGTTATTAATCCATTTCAAGAATAAGTTCTGATATCCAGATTTAACCATGGGAACACATGGCAACTTCAAATAATTAAGCTATTCATCTTGATTGCTAAACTACCAGAGCATATACATCAGAGCATGGTTTATTTAGAGTCAACCCATAACATATTTAAGCTATACACATGAGTATAGTATGCAGATAATACATTCAAATTCTCTCTCCATGTTCAGATCTTTAAAATTTCTGGTTTAATTTCTAACTTAGGAGGACTATGGCCCCAAAAGAAGGGGAATGATATGATCAGAACTGGCAAATATATCTAATATTTGCATATTACATGTATAGTAGGCTCTGTGAGACTGCTGGCCTCTGCTCATGTCGTTTTGGCTGCTAAGACTAAAGGCTGCCTTTATGTGATGCTGCACACCACTTGCCAAGTTTGGCTTGTCTTAGGGCACAAGTATTGGCACAGCCTCATCCAATCAGGCATTACCAAGATTATCCTTAAGGGCAGGCTTGGAGGCCATCAACCTCTTTCTCTAATCAGCTTCCAATCATCTCCTGCAGCTGCAGAACTCCACTTCCCTGAACACAATGCTTGCTGTCTTTGGCAGGATCCTTGTGTTTGCACTTCCCTGCTTTATTTTGAATTTGTCACTTTGGAAGATCTTCACAATCAGGGAATAACTCTTGGGTACTTATCATGCCCCAAATCAAAATTATATTCACACTGAAATTGTAACACAGGCTGTCTTAGTTAGGGTCTGTATTGCTGTGAAGAGACTCCTTGACCACAGCAACTCTTTTTTTGGCCAGTGCCCAGTTTTATTCACAATATCCAAATCCAGAGGCAACACAGATAACCTTTTAGTAGGTGGATGGATGACTGGATAAAGTGCCACATTCAGGCAATAGAAACTAAAAAGAGGTGCATAATCCAGACACACAGAGCCCCAGAGGAAACCAGTATGCATGCTGTTAAGCAGAAGAAGCTGATCTGAAAGGGCTCTGTGCACTGTACAACCACAACTAAGCAGCACCACAGCTCTTCTTATGAAGGGAAACATTAACTGGGGCTGGCTTACAGTTCAGAGGTTTCGTCCATTATCGTCATGGTGGGAAGCATGGTGTCATGCAGGCAGACATGGTGCTGGAGAAAGGGCCGAGAGCTCTACATCTGGGTCTCACAGGCAGGAGAAAGAGGCAGTGAGCCACTAGGCCTGATTTGAGCTTCAGAAACCTCAAAGCCCCCACCCTCCCCAACTCAGGAACACACTTCCTCCAACGAGGCCACACCTACTTTATCCTTTATCTCCAATAGTGCCACTCCCTATGAGTCTATGGGGGCCTCTTTCAAACTACCACACAAGTATTTGTAACAGTCAAGCACATACCAGCCCAAACCCGGAAATAACTCAAAATGTAACAGATAAATATTTTCTTAAACTGGGGAAATTTTTTTTCTCACATTAATAAACATTAATAAAGGAGAATAAAATGATGGGAACAATAGTAACATGCTTAGTAGATAATAGTCAAATAAGAACTTATGATTAGGTTGATAAATTTATTAGCATATTAAAATTCGAGGTGTAGGTAAGAGATTAGATGAGAAAGCTTAAGGAGGGGTAAGTGTAGTTGTGGCTATAAGGTGAACTATCAGAAAGCTTTATTCCCATTGTACCCGTTTTTTCCAGGAAAGGAAATATGATTAAGTTGCAGAATACCCTTTCCCTGACATACACACATAGAAAGAAACAATGTGAAAACGTTTGGATTCTCCACATAAGAATAATAAATACAAACGCTAGAGCTTCTATGTGTCTGTGTGTCCCTTCATGCGTTAATATGTATGTACCAGGTGTGCACAAGAGCACTCGAGCAGGTCAAGAGGGCAGTGGGCCCCCTGGAATTGGAGTTAGAGGTTGTTGTGGGCTGTGATGTGGGCGCTGGGAACCAAACTCGGGTCCTCTGCAAGAGGAATAAGTGCTGCCACCTTGCCAGCCCCATCTTCTTGTAAAAGGGTTTATGCAACTTCCTAAAAAAATCTTAACTATTTTAAATATTACATAAGGTCAACCTGGACTCCACACCTCCCCCAGAGTAGTTATTAAAAAAAAAAAAATCTAAGAAAAGGAGGCAAGGTGAGCAACAAGGAGATAGCGTAAATTGTAATACATAGTTAATAGATTTAAAATGTAGAAAACCTAGTATAACCTACAGCAAGATTGACCCTGCTTGAACACCCTTGGGGGAGGGGGTGAGAAGACACAGTGCCAAATAACTACTCAAGTACTGGGAGTCAGAGTAGCAGACGGTGCTGCAGACTCGTTTATTAAGGAAGTTAGACTTAGCGGGTCCTTCAGCTCAGTTGGTAGATCGAGGACTGTAGTTAGACCTGCCTTTATACCCTCTCCCAAAGTCCCGTTGGCTCAGGCGGCTGACTCAGTTGTGTTGTCCTTCCCTCATTGGTGTCTCTGGGTCAGGTGTGTCTTTGTCAGCAGTTTCTAGGCACAGAGGCAGGCTTGGCTCAGGGATGAAGTGCCTGCTGCGCATGCTCATGCGGGCTGGCCTGTGCACCTGGGCAGAACACCTGTGGCTTGGTTAGGCTGGCAGGCAATTTCTCCTACACAAGAGGTTAATGTGACATTCAACCATGTGGAGTCATAATAAATTTGTGGTACACAGTTAACATTTCACTATATTCTTGCATAGCTATGCTTGTACTACATTTATACATACCATCTTTCCCCATGTATTTCGGTCAACTGTCTCATCCACTCTCCAAGTTTTTTTTTTTTAAAAGCATTTCTAATTTTTAGAACACCTCACTGAACTTAATGACTGTTATAACTTAAATCCCACACTTCTTTGTTCTAACTCCTCAGCGCATCTGCCAACCTGCCAGTCACACCAGATTCAGAAAGGATTTTGAACATCTTTGCTGTCAGTGAAGAAGTTCTGAGGTCTGGGGGCAGAGACAGCCCTGTCAGGAAAGTATTGCCGGATCTATAAGCCCTGTCTTCTCAGCAAGGTGGTCTCCGTTCCCAGGTTCGAGTACACCTTTGTGGTCATCTCTAAGAAACACAAAGTTTTATTCACCTTAATAAACAATGTGGTGATTACCTATGAAATTGGTTTTTATCTGTATGGCTATAAAGGGATAGGATTTCTCTTTGTCTTTAGTCTGCCATAACCTTCTTGAATACATACTTAATAAATATAAAAAGAAACACAAGTTTTATCAAGAAGGGGACTTTGGAGGATAAATGGGAGATTTATTTGGCTCTTCTCTGAAAAAGTTATTTTCCAAGTTAAAGGTAGGTATATTTTACGGTTTTCCTTTCTCCTCATGGGTGGGCAGCTGTGGTCTGACTATGCACAGTCAGATTTCCTAAATGGACTTACAACTTTTAGGCTTCATGACTGATCTCATGTCCAGATTAGTTTTTGAGATACAAATGCAGTGCTAATAAAACCCTTGGTAAAGTCATTTACTGATTCAATGATGCCTCATCATAAATACGACACCTTTTTCTGTAGCTACTGTTATGATGAGGCTTGAGGGGGACCTTAGCAGACTCCATGGCCGGCCAGGCTGACCAAGGTGGAGGGATTAGCATGCCAGGCAGACAGCTTAGTGAGAAATCTTATTAGAAAGGGAGGCGGGGCAGGGGGTGGGGGTTGGGGAAGGAAAAAGGTAAAGAGACACAGAGACAGAGAGGACAGAAGAGGGAGACAGGAAAAGTTTTGTCTGGGGGTGGGAAGGAGAAGCAGCTAGAGACAGCAGAAGGCCAACGTAAGTGGGCCGAGGTCTATTAAAGGGGCCCTTTGCACCTGGGCTGACCAGGGTACTGTCTGAGTGCATTCTGCCAGGTGACAGGGGCAGGCCAGCATAAAGCCTGAATCCTTACAGCTACTGTTGAGCAATGTAGAAAAGGGAAAAAAAAAAAAAAAGCCATCTCCTAGCATTCACACAAAACTTCGACTCGCTCTTGATTTCAGGCATGGCATCTCTTACACACATCCTCCTTCCTGTTTGTACCTAACTCAGACACAAATAGAGTATCAATCATATTTGACACTCCATGTCTATAGCTTCTAGGCCTTCAAAAAGTTCAAGATTGAGTTAAATTTAAATTATTTTAATGTTTACAGTCAGGTGAAAGCAATAACAATATTAAATAATAAACAGTGTTTCTGATCTGAGTTACCTTGTAATCTCCCTAGAATATGGCAAAATCATGAATAACTAATTAACATTGGTCATAACTTTCATGACTTATTTTAAATTTCAAAAATGTGTGACAGTACCAGCCTGGAAGTAAAAGCACTCATATAGTATTTGCTATCAATGATTAGTGATTTTTTTTTTTTAGTATATGAAAAACATCTGGCCTTATAAAATATTGAAATATTAAAATAAATATGATATATAGCACAAACCAGAACAAACTCTTCCATAAACAAGAGAGGTTCAAATTTTCTTGTTATTAATAGTTAGCCTCTGTAGCTATTTCTTAAGATGTTTAGATATTTAGTAAGAGTTAATGAAAAAATTTTAAAGTTTTATTTTGTTTCTTTTTACAAAATGGGAAAGGTATTCATTTTACTTTGCATGTAAATGTTGCATGTAAAGACATACAAGACAAAACGTGCTCAGAAAAAAAGCTGCTACTAGGTGGAGACATTGCTCATGCGTTAGGAGGGTGCCCAGCTCCTCCTGAAGCCCATACTTATGTGGGGTAGCTCCGAGGCATCTTTTGGCCTCTGCAGGGAAAATGCTATCTCCTTTGGGCTCTGGTCCCTGATGCACAGAGCTGCACTGGGGGGTTTCCTCTTCCTGTGGGACTCTGCCTTTCCTGCTTCCCAAGAGCCCAGGCGCAGGGGCCGCGAGCTGCCACCGTTTGTACCAACTGCCATCACTGTGGCAAAGCCAGCGGCCACACCATGCTGCCTTTGTTCCTGGTCCTCTCATGCCTGGGCCAACTGATCATTGCGGACCAGGGTAAGTGAAAATGCTGCTGGGCAGGGGACCACCTGTCCACAGAGCACCTGCCATGCTGGCTTCATACTCTGAGTTGTTCTCCGGAAGTCCAGAACAAGGGCTAGTGAAGGTGCCCAGAGTCCTCCCAGTTCCAGGGTCTAGGGGTCCATCTCTGCCTGCTGGTTGGAGGACTCAGCTCAAAGACCATTGATCCTCATTTACTGACTTTCTGCAATCAGGAGGACATCGGGAGGACAGAGAGATGGAGAGGGAGTGACATAGAGCCCACAGGTCTTATGTGCTCTCTTCTTGCTCTCGAGGAAAGCTTAGTTAAAGCAGGATACTTACTGTTGCCCTGGAGTGTACTCACTGTGTCCCTCTCCGCAGAGTCTGAAACACCACTTCTGCAGATCACAGTGCCACAGAAAATCGAGAACAACAACATCAAGGATGACAAGGCGGCAGAAACGCACGTAATTAAGAAACCGCATTTGTGGAAAATTCAGGCCCACATCAGTGAATTTCTACATGGCCTCTTTGAAGTTCTGTTTATGACTAATTTAGGAAGCTAAAGACTGGTGGTCCGAGGGAGGGCAAAATGTCTCAGTTTCTTTCATTTTCCAAGTAGTATACGGACGTTGCACAACTGTTTTGTGTGAGATTCAAACGCTCTAGTTTCCAGTCCCCATGCTGCTGCCATGCATAGCTTACTGAATCCAGGGAAAACAAATGCACGAATTATATATTCTTACACATCAGACTGCACTAAATTTTACCTTGTATCATGATTTTTAAACTGGCAGCATAAAAATCTCCAGGCCTATAAATGCACATGTATTAAACCTCTTGGAAAACCAAACAGTGAAGTATAAAAATCATAACATTATTCTAAGCAATACAGAGAGGTGTTTCAAATGAGTGTCCATTTCATAAGTCTGAGGTACTAATTTTAACCAGTTGAATATTTTAGTCACATATGTTTATCACTGTATTTGGCAATATTGTTTTTCCACTTCTCATTGCCACCTCATACATGTATGCTTCCTGACTAGCAGATAGTCTTGTGAGTATTTTATCAGAACCATTTCCACAGGACTGATGAGGAAGTAGTTAAATTTTTGGCAAAGTACATCAGAATGTTTTCAGTTCTTTCCAAGTAGACAGTTGTTTTTTTCAAAGTTAATCGTCATCATTAATCCAAACTGTCTTCAAATCTACTTACAGTCTTTCTGCCTTTGCTATTCTGAAACATCTATTTTAATTTAATATATAACATAAATGCCATCTTGCCTAGTTTTACAGTCAGCTTCTTGGAATTTGGCAGTAGATAGTTTTCAATCTATAAGTCATGAACTGGCCATGAACTTAGCATTTTAAGTGGTATTTTTATTTAGTCTTTGATAGTTTCATAAATGTATATGATATATCTTTGATCATATCCAACCCACCCCTTCACAGTTCCCTGTGTTTTAAGTTGATTTTTTTTCAAATAAGATTTATGTACATTTTCTCTGTTTATCAGGGCATGTGTGTCCTTTGCACCTGTCTGTGGGTCTCACGATAAAATCTCTCCATACCATCTTAGTCTCTCAGGCTATGGAAACTGGCATTATAAAATTTCTTTTCCAATTGTTTATTTTCCAGTTTATAGGAATAAAAATATGCCTTCTATATATCAATCTTGCAAATAATGACCATGACCATTTACAATGTGGGTCTATTTCATGGGTTCTTTTGAATGTCTATGGTCCTGGTGTTAATCTGTAGTAGAATACATTTGTATTTTATTTGTTAACCTGTTAGGTTCAGTGATGGCAGTAATATGGTAATAGAAAACAGTGTAGGCAAAGCAGTGATAGGTGAGAAAAAATATAGCTTACAGTTTTGGGCTTTTGGGTATTATTTTGCTAATTAAATAGCAAAATGGGGAGGGAATCTGGAATGGTAGAATAAAGCATAAATTGGGAAGGGTATATTTGTGTTAGAAGCATGAGAAATGGTAGATATTATATTGTGGAGTTGTTTCAATTTGGGACATAGTCTGGTCAAATAAAATGTGTGTTCATAAATCATAGCTTGTTACTTTTAAGAAGTAGGCATTTCTAATAATGGCTTTCTCTTTCTGGCCACTTTGGCACAGGTCACTTACTTGGTCAGAATTGAGGGCAAAACATACACATTCCAGCTTGAAAAACAGTAAGTGCTCACTCTACCACAGAGCTGTTTCCAATTGTTCTTCAACCATTCACCAAGCTGAGCTTTACCTTCTTTAATCTTCATGTGGAACTGAGATTTTAAATCTATGTTCTAAGTTAATGATGTCTTAAGACACATCGGATGAATGAAAATTACCAAAGTCCTTAAAGCACAGGCATGCGTGCAGTCGTGAAAGGTATAGCTGTTACCTGCCCATGTGTAATTTTGCACCAGCCTATGTTGTTTTGCTTAAGGGTGGGGTTTTAAGCATCTTACGTAGTATACTACACATACCTGAGAGAAATGGAGACTAGGTCAGAAAAACATCCCTAGGAAACCAGGTAGACCTTGTAAACACGAAAGTGTGTCTTAAATTGCAAACATAGGCAGAACTTGCTTAGGCCACTGATGATAGAGAATGAAAACTTGAGTCATGTAAAGCAGTGGTCATGAACTTCCCAGGGTAAAGCAGAATGACACCCATACACCTGTAGCTAATGAAATGCTGCATTCTCAGTGCCCATGTCCCTCTCTGCCCCGGGACCAGCTCCCTCCCAGCACCAGCTCCCTCCCCTCGCTGCTGCCCCAGCGCCAGCTCTGCCCACTGCCCCCTTCTGCCTTCTGTTCATATGCTGTTGTTACTTGATGACAGGTTACATTTCTGTTATGCTCAAATGGTTTGGCCAATTCACAACTGTGTTTCTCCTGTTTTGCTCCAATGTGTAATCTTGACTTCCCACCTTTCTTCCTTTATCCTGCAAGGAATCCAGCAGCATCAACCTTGGATACAACCTTCCATCATTCTCTATATTTTGTCTTTATATAAGAATTACAGGAACTCATAAAAAATCCCCCCCCCAAATGTGTCCATTGTTTTGAAACAGTCTGTCTCAGTGTGGGTATGTGTCTTCCAACATCACTCAGTATAAAATGTTACAGTATGCAGTGTAATAGGTAATAAGGGCCCTTTACAGAGATTGTCTCTATAAATTCTGAAGATAGCATTAATAATTAGAATCTTTTCATGCTCAAATAGGCATTTCATCTGAGGCACATGGGAGATGAAGGCAGAGTCTCACTTTTGCTTTCTTTGCTACTATGTATCCCATTCCAATGTTGTGATCAAAGTATGGTACCATATAGGTTCCTCTGTGTCACATTTAATCAATGTTTCCAAAATCCAGAACAGTAATTATACATTTAAATAGATGTACATAGTATATTAGTAAGAGCTTATAAGCCACATTTGTCTCAATATGGTGATGCTCTTCTCTTCACTCTTCTTTGTTATCAAGAGATGCATGTGTTTCCCTCCCAGGCTTCTCAGCCCCCTTCCTGTATCTGAGTTTACTCATGTCCTTGGGCAAAATTGTGAGAAGGGGCCAACACCTATGTGGCCGTCAGCAATCTGTGATTAACACGGCAAACTTGATATTTGTTAATTAAAAAAATATTTACTGATAGACCTGGAGGTTTTCATGTATGGTTCCTTAGCCCTGTTGATTTTGGGTCTGTGGTTAGGTAGGATGTCATGGTAGTAAGCCCTTGGCACTTAGCTCATATCTGGGAAGTAGGAGAGAGGGGGATGAAGAGACAAGGTCCCAAGGGGCACAGGCTCCCAGCCATCTAGAACAATACATGCAGGTCTGCCTCAGTCGGTTGTGGTTAATATGTCACAAACCCAGATACAACTGGGACTAGGGCATCTGAATTGGGGTTTACATTGGTTGCTGGCTCATGCTTGAGGGCCTAGCCCACTTAGGGTGGTACCACTCAGGGGCAAGCCATCCTGTGCTGCATAAGAAAGCCTGCTGAGTATACCAGGGAGAGCAAGCCTCTAAGTCCATTCTTCTATGCTTTCCACTTCAGTGACTGCCTCCAGGTTCCTGCTTGATTTCTTGCCCTGACTTTCATTAACGAAAATGGTGATGTGGAAATACAGGTCAAAGAAACCCTTCTATCCTTAAAGGGGCTTTGATGTGTTTTATCAAAGCAACAAAAACAACAGAAGACAAACTAGGGCAAGGCCCTACTTTCAGAAGGAGCTCTATCATATTCCAATAGCTCTAGGAACTGGAGCCTGGGCATTAGCACAGGGTCTCTGGGGAACATTGCAGATGTAAAACAACCTGGTTAATGCTTTTGGGGTAGATTAAATGGTTTTCATTTTATCCTGGGATCTACAAATTCAGTCACTCACTTGTGACTCTGATACTTACTATGGCCAAAGAGAAGTTGAGTGACATAGTAGAGGTTTTAAAAGGCTATTGTGTCTGTTTTTTTATTGCCAGCGCCATACCATTTTTATTACTATAGGTTTGTTGTGTCACTTAAAGTCTGGGATAGTGATACCTCCAGCAGGGTTTTGTTTGTTGGATTGTTTTGGCTATCCTGGGTCTTTTGTCTTCCTATATAAAATTTAAGGCTGTGTTTCTCAATTTCTGTGAAAAATTGTGTTGGAATATTAAGGAGGATTATATTGAATCTGTACATTTCTTTTGGTAGGGTGATCATTTTTAGTACATTAATCCTACCAACCCATGAGCATGGAAGGCCTTTCTGTTTTCTGATATTGTTTTCCAATTTTTCATCAGTGTCTTAATTTTCCATTGTACAAGTCTTTCACTTCTTTAATTTATTCAAAGATTATTTTCTGAGGCTATTGTTAATGGTCTTGTTTCTCTGATTTATTATTGGTGCCATTTGTTTATAGGAAGGCTACTGTGTATGTGTGTGTGTGTGTGTGTGTGTGTGTTGGTTTTGTATCCTGCTAAATAATGACTCCATTTACCAGCTGTGGAGTTTTTCTGGTGGAATCCTTTGGCTCTTTTATGTGTACAGTTATAGCATCTGAAAATAGAGCTACCCTGTTGTCTTCCTTTCTAATTTGTAACCCTTCAACTCCTTCAGTAGTCTTATTGCTCTAGCTAGGGATTTAAGTACTGTATTGAACACTGATGGAGAGAGTAAGCATCCTTATCTTATGTCTGATTTCAGTGGAAATGTTTTGCATTTTTCTCCATTTAGCAAGATGTCAGTGGTAGGCTTGCTGTAAATGGTCTTTGTTGTGTGGAGATATGTCTCCTGTCTCCCTACAGTCCCCAGAAATTTTATCACGAAGAGAGGTTTTATTTTATCACAGGCCTTCCTATGTCTAATGAGATGATTTAAGTGTATTTATGTGGTAGTTTATGTCTATTGATTGATGTGTATTGAATTATTCTTAGATCTCTGTGATAAAAGCTGATTTGATCACAGTGGGTGATCTTTTTAGGTATTCTTGAATTGTGTTTCTAAGTATTTTACTGAGAATTTTTGCATCCGGATTCACCAGAAAGAGACCCATAATTTTCTTTTTGTGTTGGCTCTTTCCATGTCCATTTTGGTATCAGGGTAAGACTGATTTCATGAAAATAATTCAGAAATGCCTCCTTATTTTATATTTTATGGAATAATTTGAGGAATATTGGCATTGTTTCTTCTATGAAGGTCTGGAAGAATTCTGCACTGAATCCATCTGGCTCCAGGTTCTTTTGTTTTATTTTAAATTTTGGAGGTTTTAAATTGCTTTTGCTATCTCATTGGATATTATGGGACTACGTCTAGAATTAGCTTTTGCAAGCTGTTTATATTCAGAAATGCAAATTGTTTACATTTCCAGTTTGGTTTTGAAGATCTAGTGGCACAATTGGCTAGCAAGGTACATTTAGTGTCTGGGTGGGGTTTTCTGTAGATGTCTGTTGTGTTTATCTGGGGAGGACCCTGACATAAGCCAGAGCTGCTATTTGGCATTTGACAAAGAGGCCAAACATGCACTTTGGAGAAAAGACATCATCTTTAACAAATGTTGCTAGTCAAACTGGATGACTACATGTAGAATGTAACTAAAGCCTTATTTCTCAGCCCACAGAAAAGTCAACTACAAATGGCTTTAAGAGTTCAATATCAGAATGATACCCTGAATCCCATAACAGAAAAAGTAGGGAATATGTCTGAACTCATTGGCACAGGAAGGGAACAGGATGTCAATTAGTTAGAAGCATTAAAGCCAACAGCTGATGAAAGGGACTTCATGAACCAAAGTTACTGTACAACAAAGAACATTGCCACTAAAGTGAAGAGGGAGCCTACAGAATGGGACATAAATGTTTAACAGCTGCATATCTAACTGAAGATTAGTAACTAGGCTATAAAGAACTAAGACAAGACAAGCGAAAAGCTAAACATCAAGGAAGCAAAGAGTTTGAAAACGGGGCACGGGACTAAAGAGAGCTCAAAAAAGATGAAATAGAAATGGGTGTGAAGATTTTTCAGATGGTTTGTAATTCTATGAAAACCATTTGATGCTGACTTATAATCAGCCCATGAGATTTATTTGTGCTTAATATAAACTAAAACTTAAATGAGAAGATGTGGGCATGAGCACAGTTTGCTATGTGTAATTTATCATAGTCCTATCTATACTGCTCCCTGGTTTTAGTCCTAATTATTATCTTTAGCTTGTATGTCTCTAATAAACTATTAGAACACAAGCTAGATGATGAAAATTCTCAGGTATTTTTGGTTTGTAAGATTTACACTTTAGTTTAATTATTCTGAAAGGTTTTTGTTGTTAATGAACTATTAAACCTGTGTATTGTTATTAATGATATATTACAATGAAATGTCTTTATTTTGGTTGAAATAGGTCATTTTTACATCCACGTTTTATGGCATATTCATATACCAAGTTAGGAACATTGCAAAGGGACTTTTCTTTAGTAAAGGTAAGCTTAGACTTGTGCTGTGGAGCTGTGTGTGTGTGTGTGTGTGTGTAGTGGTGTTTCTCCCCTTACATACCAACAGTTTTTAACTTAGAAATAGCTACACATACATTTATCTATAGATTATATATTTCCTACACATGTATGGATTCATATACCTTTAGAAGCTGTGTTTTTTGAATTTTACATTTATTTTTAACTAAAGTATTATTGTATCACTTAACCTTCTCCCTTTCCCACCTCCAACCTTTCTCCTGCCCTGACCCTCCAATTGTAGCGATAACAACAAGGTACCATGAAGGAGCCTAGGCTGGTGACAAAAATCACAATCCTCCTGCCTCCACTCCTCAGTGCTGGAATTCCAGGTTTGTGGTTATCATGAGCAACTTGGATTCTTTATTTACAAAATATGTGTAAGATGCTACTGTTGAAAAGACAAAGAAAAACACTTTCCAATCTACAGTGCTGTTGGCCAAACAGGTCCCAAATCCAAGCCCCCACCCCCACCACCCCGTGTGAACTGCTAGGAAAGTACACTGAAGAAAATGACTACCTCGAAATCACTTATCCGAAAATATGATTAAATCATGTCTGAAGACATCAGGAGTTTGAGATGGACAAGAAAAGGCAGGTTGGGGGATCAGGCACACCAAAGGTTGGGAATGTTGTCTCACAGTGGAGGAAATGGTGGGAAAGTTGGCAGGAAGATTGTGAGAGGAGATGCTGGGGGCAGATGAACACTGGAGGATGAGTGGCTCAGTGGCAATGAGGTAGCACCCATAGGTTCTCTGATGTGAACAGTGGGCTGGTGCTTAAGGGATTCAAAAACAACCCTGAGGCTAAAGACCTTCCAGCACCTTGCAGGCCACCATATCATACCTGAAGGGGTGGGGACTAGATGTCAGCATTTCACAATTAATTTTAATGAGCATTCATCAATTGTGCCTTTTAACAGGGCCTAGTGTGGCATTTCCACATGTGTATATAATATCATGTGCGATGAATGAAAACCAGGCAACAATTAGAACACAACAACAGTATAAGTTATACTGTAGAGCTATAGAAATAAAAACAGTAAGGCACTGGCATAAGCAGAGATCGCCAGTCTCTCTGCTGGCTCCAGGGTGGGTGTGTCTGGTAGGCCCCTAAGCTATATGGTGTGGTATGATGCATGGATCATGTGAGGCCTCCTAGGCCAGACAGGATTGTCTCTGTTTTTCCTCTTGTGAGTTGCTTACCTTGTGCTTCACTGTCTCACTTCTGTCTGAGTGACTTTTGCTGTGTAGGTGTTGGGTGGCATCTTTCAGGGAGGCACAGTCAGGAGATTCCTGGGAATGCTTCTCCCCTGTAGTTAATAGTGGGCTGGGACCTTGATTACCTCTTTGGGAAGGGCTGCTGGTATCAGTTGAGTGCTGATCTCTCTGTCTGGGCAAAGCCCTGGAGCGTGAGTGCATTGGGCATCATGCTGATGTTGGACTTACATGTGCTCTAATGCCTGCCCTTGTGGCTAGATCCAAACTGCTACTCCAGTTTTTGGGGGATGAGATTTTAGATGGGGTTTATGCCATGTTCAATGGAGATCTATGCCTGGATGCTTTTACTATATAGACAGATTGAAGGAGTCAGTGAGTTGGAAGTGAAGTTTTACAGTGTTAAGAACAAAAAGGGCCCTGGAAATCACTACTATGTAGACTTAGGAGGATGGAGAGTTCATTAAAGGATTATTGTGGGGAAGTTTGGGAATCACTAACATTGATAAAGTCAAGGGGGAAGAGTGTTAACTACTGATGATTAATTACCTTCCTAGTGAGATAGTAAGAGAAAGTAAGGTGGACAAATGTCAGCTAAATAATTATGGACTTCCAAGATGGCTCTGTGAGAAAAGTGTCTCTTGCAAAACATGATGATCAGAGTTCCATCCCCGGGCCCCACATGATAGAAGGAGAAAATGCCCACCATGACAGGCGAACACAGACATGCACAATAAATGAACACACACACACCTTTCATGACTCACAATTGTTCATAATTGAACCCAGCCATGATTATGTTATAAATCATAAGCTAGTGCGTATAAACTATACTCCTAGGCGATCTTGCTAAAAAGGAAAAGATACTGATAAATAGGGTAAATAGTGGTCAAAACTTAAAGTTATAGCAAGAATATTTCAGAGAGGAAAATAATGCCTAGTCAAACACAGGAAAGTGCTGAGGAAGCATGCACACTAGGGAGATGGGAAGGACCCTGAACACCAAACACATAATGTAATGGCTGAATGTGGATGTTTGCTGTTGTCAGGAAGTGGGCATGACCCCAAAGGCTTCCTGTGGGAATCAGCTATGACATTTCTTCTGTTCCTTCTTAGGGTCATTGCTTTTATCAAGGACACGCTGCTGAGATCCCAGCATCAACTGTGACCCTCAGCATTTGCTCAGGTCTCAGGTACCACTCTGAAAGTGTGAACTAAGATTGTATGTCAACCCTCAGTTTCCACCATCATCTTTGAGAACAGAATGAGGAGGGAAAAAAAAAAAAAAAAAAAAAAAAAAGAACACAGACCTGAAGACTGCAGTGGCTGTGTTTATACACCCCCTTTACTCCCATCTCTTTCTCTTGTCCTCTCATGAACTTTTTAAAGGCTTCTTTGCATTTTGCCATCATAAAACTTAAGCAGAAAAAGTTCCTACAAGCAGGGAGAGAATTCACATTTTCTATCTACATTAGACCACAATTTTTCTTAAATGCCATAATGGAGGGAAGATAGGTATTGTTGTAATTAAAGAAAACAGCATCCAAGAGAAAGATGCCATGAGGGGTTTTTATTAGGGAAAGGGATCATGAAAAGAGGAAAGGGGGGGGGACCCACCTCTGGAGAAAGGATCAGCAGGAGAGAGGAGAGGGCAAAGAGGGACAGAGAGAGAGGGATAGGGAAAGGGAGAGGAAGAGGGAGAGAGAGAGAGAGAGAGAGAGAGAGATAGAGAGAGAGAGAGAGAGAGAGAGAAAGGGGATGGGAGGTGGGCAGGGCCCTTTTAAAAGGGAACATAGTGAATGTGCACAGGTGGTGCTCTTAGTGGCTGCAGCTGAGGGTGCATCCTGTCAGAACCCCAAGGACAGGCCAGTAGAGATGCTTGAATACTAATTGGTATAACATTGGATTTGAAACTTATAAAGAATTTATAGAAGATATTTTTAGCATGCACTTTCTTTTCTTTATATGTTTAGGGGCTTGTTACAGTTAGAGAATATCACTTATGGAATTGAGCCATTAGAGTCTTCAGCTACATTTGAACACATGATTTATCAAATAAAGAATAACAAAATTGATTATTCCCCCTTAAAAGAAAACTTAAATCCCCAGCATGAAAGTCAGTCCTACCGAATTCTTGTAAAACCAGAGGTGAGTTCGTCCTTCATCTGTGCTATTTACACTGAAATTTTGAGATTGGATACATTGGGAAAACAAAGTCAAACTGTTGTACAGTAATTATTTTAAGCTATCATTGGTTTCCTCACATAGTCTTAAGACAACAATAAGTAGACATCAATTTTTTAAAAGGTCATCTAAACTTGTCACAATAGTTTGTATAGTTATTGTATAGGGAGTTTGTATAGATACACATAGTTGCTATTTGTGTAGATTTGCATACTATTAACATAATTGGTCCTGGATTTACTTACTGATAGTTTGTGTTCTCTTTGTCAATTTATTTTCTTTGTCAAAAAGCATTACTCTGCTACAAACTTTGAAAGTAAAATGAATCATGACAATAACTAAAACTTTGCTGTATTTGCTGTCATATGCTTCACCATAAATGAATAGTCATAAATGTCTAGATTTTTAAGGAAAAAATCCAATCATGGTTATTTTTAATTTTTTTATTAATATGATTTCATATTTTTGCTAATTTTTACTTTAATTACTTTATAAATTAAATAATATTGATAAGTACGTATATTTAAATGCTAAATAAATGGGTGTATAAAAAATGTAAAATAAAGATGGACCTAAATAATATTTTCTCCAGCCAGGAGCTGCTGTGGGTGGGATGCACTGTTCCTGTTTTGCAGTGTGCTTCCACTCTGTCTCTGACATAAATATGTAACTATATATTGATTTAAATGGAAACGTATACACTTTATAAAATTATGTCAGCTTTGCATTAAAATTTTCCCTTCAATCAGTAAATTAATTTGACAAATACAGAAAAAATAACTTTTCTTATAAATAATGTCAGTTAATAGCAGACACTCTGCCAAAGGGATTTTTGATATGTATCTTAACGTTTCCCTTTAAAATGTTTGTTCAAATTTGTCTTTAGGCATCAGTGGTTAAAATAAGCTAATTTCTAGATATACATTCTTGTCATATAAAACAGAGGTAACAAAAAAAATGGTGAATGAAGATTGAAACTAATTAATGACAAACTTCCTTTCACTATTCCCTTACCTTTTTTTTTTTTTTTTAATTTGTTGAAAGTGTGGACTTGAGTAAAGGTTAACAAATTAAAGACAGAAACTCACAAAACCAATGGTTTTACTCCGTCACTTGTCAAATCAGTTGACGGCTGAAAAGAAAGCTCACTCTCATACACACTAGACTTTGGATCCAAATGGAACCTCAATGTCATGTCATTCTGGGTCTCCAGCTGGTCTTGAACAGTTCCAGGTCTTGGGATTCCTCTTTACATATAAGACTAACTGACCTCTATGATTACAGCAGCCAACTCCACACGTACATATGTGCACACACATATATGCACATTTCATGTTATTAAGTGTTGAATTAAATAAGCCTTGTAACAAAAAAAATGTTCAAGAAACCACAAATCAAATCAGTAATGAGACATAATATCATAATATGGCTAATATATTTCATTTTATAAATAAATAAGTAATTCCATATTCATCTTCAATTGAAGAAATTCAGCAAAGGTAGAAAAAATGCATCAAAATGAAGCCCCTTTAAAACAGCCAAGGTTTTCCTTGTTTGCATTATGAGAGTGAACAGTTTCTTTCCAGCCAGTCTTTATAGAGTATTTAAAGAATCTCGAGACTAGAGATTGTATCTGTTATCCCTGTTAATGAAGTAAGTACAGTAAACAGTACTAAACCAGAACTATTAACAGACATGTGGGTACCCAGTTGGTTTTATTATATTGACGGTTTGTTTCACAGAAAGCTTCAAATATGTCACTAATGAAGAGGACTCTACTTGTGAAGATCATCATGGATAAAGCCATGGTAAGACTGACCTGTCTTCCTCAGGTCTTCGTTTTGTAGAAAGATTGAGTGAGGGTTGTGAATATGAAACTTAAACTCCTCCTTTCCCTTCCCTTCTGCTTCCCTCCTCTCCTCTCCCCTCCCCTCCCCTCCCTTCCCTTCTCCATTCCCCTCCCCTTCCTGTTCCTCCCTATCTCCCTTCCTTCCTTCCTTTTTTTTTTTTTTTTCCCTTCATGTTATCTTTGTTCTATGGGTGCAGTCAGTGTTTTGCCTACATTGTGTAGGTCTGGGCACTATGTGCATGCAGTATTCTCAGACTCCAGAAGAGGGAGGCAGATTCACTGGGATTGGTGTTACTGATGGCCCCCAGCTTTCCCTGTGAATTAATGGAGACTGAATTCAGGTCCTCTAGAAGAGCAATAAGTGTTGTTAACTGCTGAGCTATCGTTCCAGTATGTTTTTCACTGTTTTATACAAATGTTTTTATACTCTGTTCAAGTGTCAGTCATGATGACATGTGCCAATAATTCCAGTACTAAAGATAGGGAGGCAGAGAGATTGAGTTTCCTACCACTCAGGGCTACCATAAGAAGATCTTGTCTCAAAACATAAACATATTTTTTCCCTGCTTAAAAAAAAAGTGCCAAAGCATTGCAGCACATAATGACATGTCATTGGCTGTCCTTATACTGGCATGAGGTGATTATGGCAATGGCAAAGGACTTTGCATGAACAGGTTCTACTACACAATCACCCATCTAACTTTAGCAGAGACTAGCAGGTGTGCCTCAGTTCTTATTGAGACTAGATCTTATTTCCATTATCCTGGAAGTTAGTTCATTAAGTATTACATTGGATTACATTTTCAAATATTCACTTCCTGAGCTTATTTTATGTGTCATAGTTAGCTGGCTTCTTGAGTGGAAGCTCCATGTTTTACAGATGAAATGGTCATTCATCAGCACTCTGCTTACTTTGCACTCTCCTCTGCAAACAGTATTTGTACACTGCCTTTCTTCCCCACTGTGCGAATCTCTTTTCATAGCCAGTACTGACTTTCTCAGCTCACCATTCTCTGATTCCTAGTGTCCAGCCCATGGTTTCTTCTTTGAGTCACTTAGTCTCATGGTGTGGATTCATTCCACTGTCTTCTGCCTTACCACGCTGGACTATCACTGAACCAATTGCTTTGAGTTTATCTTAATGTTTACATGTGCCACAGTCTACAGAACAAATTATTTCAATTAATTCTCCAGTTTCTATTTCTTTCATTGAAAATGTATTTTTCTTAGAATACAGTTTGATATAGTTTCTCCTTCCCCAACTCCTCCAAGATCCTCCCCACCTCCCCTCCCATCCAAACCTGCACCTTTTCAGTTTCTCCTAAGAAAACAGGCATATAAAGAATAATTGTAAAATAAGATAAAACAACAACAAAAAATCAGAATAGAACAAAACAGAAGTTAAAAAAAAAGCTAACAAAAAAGCTAACAACAACAACAGCAACAAAATCACATCAAACACATGTAAACCCAGAAACACACAGGTTGCACATACAGGAATTCCATAAAAACCCCAAACTGGAAGCCATAGTATATCTAAAGGACTTGTGATGTTATGAGAACAAAACCATGCCCTGACATAATATGATGATATAAGGAACCTCCAAAGATGTCACCGGGTTCTTTTTGTGTTGGCCATCCACTGCTGGGCATGGGGCTGCCCTTAAGAGTGGTTTGTTTTTCCAGTGAGACTCCCTTGGAGAAAAGTAAGTTTTCATTTGCAAAGGGTTATCAACTGGGGTTAGGGGCGTGTGTCTGCTTCCCATCTCAGTCTCTGTGAGGTCATATGTGCACGGGTCCTGCCGTGTCTAGAAGGCCTTGTTTCCTTGGTGCCCTCCATTTCCTCTGGCTCTGACACCCTCTCTGCCTCCTCTAGCCCTGAGGGAAGGGATTTGATGAAGATATCCCATTTAGGATTGGGTATTTCCCTCCCTGTACATTGTCCATTTGTGGGTCTCTGTGTGTGTCCCCATCTGCTGCAATCAAGCTGCATCACCTGCTTCCTATGAAGCAGTCCTGTTCAATGTGCCAGGTGTGCATTGCTCACTTTCCCCTGAGCTTGTGGACGGGTCTGCCACTTTGCTCATCTGAAACTGTCTTAGCCTTTCAGTTTTGAACATTTTCACCTTTTAAACAGTTTTGTTTTGGGGGGAAAAATTCGACAATGAAACTTTCAGAAAGTTGCAGCAAGAATACTTCACAGAGCAGCCTTGTACTCATCACCTGTGTCACCGTCATGTAGTCTTCTGCTGTCATCTCTGCTGTCTCCATTTGAATTTGAGAGCAAATTTTCAATTGCATCACGGGGATTACATTAAAAATCTACGAATACAGCACATCAGAATTTCCTGATTCTATGTGGAAGAGCAGTCTATTGCCCCGCATTCACACAGTTGGCCTTAGAAAGGCTGTGTTTTGTATTTATGCATAGTCTGTCCTTGCTACTTACAAGTTTCTATGTATGCATATTATATCTAATGCTTGCCTTCCCATCTCAAACCTATATGTTTCTACTGTTGAATTGCTTGATACTAAAAAATAAGTCATGTAAATTATAAATGTAATTAATACACAATCATAAACAATACTTGCAGGCAGTATAGTGACTATCATTTCCTTAAATGAAGTTATACTCTGGTAGCTATCCACTAGCTGGGATACATGCTGAGTTTCTTTAATTGCAATGAACCCTTGATGATAGAGAAGTGAATGTGATCATAGAGAACTTATGATTAGACACCTTGTTTTTGCCCTTATCAGTTATGTGCTCTGGAACTAGAATACAACCAGTCTTAATTTCTGTGCCTCTGAGGAGTAAGTTAATCACAGCTATCCCTTTCAATAGTCTTAATCATTAAGATCCTGGGGTGATGTGTAAAACACAGGAAGGACAGTAACTAGAAAAGGTTTACAGACATGAAGGGATTGACTGACAACCAATTTTAACAGATCTTTAATCTTGGGTCTTCAACTGAGTACTGCATAATTTTAACTTGTGTATCTGAAACTGTTAAAGAGTGACTGTTTAATCAGTTATATTAGTAATCAAGAAACTTGTCTTTCAGTTTGACCATATGGGCTCCAAGATGGAAATTGCGATTCAGAAAGTTGTTAATATCTTTGGTCTCATTAACACCGTGAGTACTTCTGCTGTAGTTGAAGTCAGAGAAAAGTGTTAACCCACTGACATAGTGTGTGTGAGTAGGTGCATATTTTTGTGAAATGTGTACTTCTCCATGCACACTAGTTGGGTTATCCCCTCAAAACAATAAGATGAATGTAATCCCAGCATTTACAGACAGGGCAGGATGACTGACCACTCAAACTGAAGTGTGTCTTCTTTTCAGATGTTTTCCCAGCTGAAGGTGACTGTGATGTTAACCTCTGTAGAGATCTGGTCAGACCAAAACAAGATTGAAACAAGTGGGGATGCTGATGAAGTTCTGCAAAGGTTTCTACTGTGGAAACAAAACCAAACACTGGAAAGAACAAAGGTTATCACATATTTACTCCTGTAAGTACTTTATCTACACTGATGGGGACTTGCCTAATGGTTCAATGTCAACTGTCAAAAGTCGTGTCCGGGTAATTGTGCCAGCATAAGCAAAATGTAAAGATCTGATCACATAGTCAAATGCAGTTTCCACTAGACCCCATCACCACATTCCACCTCAGCACTAAGGTGGGGCTGTGAAAAGCAGCAAGCTGAACACGGGTCACCAGGAAGTGTTCACCCATGATGTTAATGTTGTGAATGCAATAACTGCCCATGTGACATGTTGCTGGTTTAAAAAGGTAAATAACTTATCTGGACCGGCCATTTCCCTGCACCTGTGGCTACATTCCAGTTTCTATAGTAATCTGAAATGTGGCTTTTAGCTACTTGCTGTGTATGCTTCAAGAGTCTTCATGTAGGTTTTAGCATTGCACACTCAGTTGTTTTACATGGAAATATGAGAAGTTCACTCGTGAAGATCTCAAGAGATATAAAAGGAACCACATGTCTTCTGTTGCCTCCAGTTAGGTTCAAGGCAAGTTTTGGGTATTTGAAGACAACACTAATGGGCTAATTTCTGCATACTACCTCTTTTTTCTTGGTGTCTCTCTCTTTCTCCCTCTCCTCTGGTCCAACTCTGTACACAGCTTTAAGATTTGTCCAATATGTGAAAAGCTTGACAATAGATAACACTGACCTTTAGACTTTAGAATCAATATCCATGCAGTGATGGGGATCCTACAGAACAGGTTATGCAAATACTAGGTGCCTCTAGGTTTTGGGTTGGGTATCATAGAACCTTAAGCACAATTTTTAACTTAAATTCCTATGAAGTATGGAGGACATACTATTTGTGTTTTTACTAATTAATGAATGGTTGATAGCATGAAGCATATTGCACGCTGACTAGCTCGTTTTTGAAGATACCAAACTTCCAGAAATCCACTGTTTAATGTCCTTTATAGCAACATTTTGAAACAAGTGCACTGACATAAAATTTCAATTTAGGTATAAGGATGACCCTGATTATGTGGGAGCAACATATCATGGGATGGCCTGCAACCCAAAGTTTACAGCAGGAATCGCTCTGGTATGCCTTTTGTTGTCCCTGTCCCCTGAATGAACAGACAACAGATGTATTTATTGTATACGTTTGGCAAATTTTTTATAATAGTATTTTTAAGGCTTTTAATGTTATAACTTATAAAAGAGTTGGTACGGTTAGGGGAAACACCCCAAATTTGCAATTTTAACCAGTTCTGTGGTGCTAACTGTATTCACCTTATTGCAAAATAAGTCTCAAGATATGTTCACCTTTTAAAAATGAGTCTCTATATCAATCAAACAATCATCCCTCTGTCCTAGGTGATGCCATTCCATGTTCTGTTTCTACTGTTGTAACAACTTTGGGGTTTACATGTAAGTGGGATGGTTCAGTATGTCTTTGTAGGACAGAGTTATTGCAAGCAGTACAATGTACTTAAGGTTCTACCTATCTCATAATGCATGCATGATTTCCTTTTTAATGACTGAATTAATATACCTATTCTATCAACAGATCTTTCATTTATTCTTACCCTGCCGTTGTTATGCACCATGCTTCAATGCTCATGTTAGAGCAGATACCTCTCGGAAGCCCTGATATGGGTCAGCTTGCTGAATTATGTATCAGTCTTGTTGTTCATATTTTTGTGGGACTATAATATTGGTTTTGATAGAGGCTATACCAGTCTATAATCCTTTTGCCAACATATAATAACTGCATAGTCAATCAAACTTACTTTGTTTTGTTTTAGTTAACAGAGACAGGCTAATATGCACAATGCCACGTCTTCTCATTGATTTTGATTGTGTTTCTCAAGCTTCAAAGGATGCAATAACAGCTCATAAACTTGATAGACTTTGGCATATATTACCAGAGAAATAGCTATTCAAGTATTTAACTTATTTTTTTAAGTGGTTTTAAGTGCTTTGTTGTTGGGCTGTGGGAATTCTCTATATTATGGATATTAATTCTTTTGTCAAACATGTAGTCTGTAAATTTTTTTTTCTATTCTTGTGTGTGTTTGTCTTTACTTTGGTTTTATCATGACAATGAAACAGGGATGTTTGAGACAGTGGCAGAATTCTTTGCTCTCCCATCCTTCCAGGATATGATGGTGTCAGTCTTTCCCATTATCTTCTCTTTTATAGCTATGAATCTCTCACTTAGCTCTTGAATTTGTTTTCAGCCAGTTTTTATATACAGTAAATATAAAAATCTTCTTCATGTGGTTGTTCTGATTTTAATCCACTCTGCCAACCTCCACCTTTATTGGGGATTCAAAATAGTTTATGGTAGGAAAAGATTTCATGCTGCCAGTTTTGCTATCATATAGATTATTTTCCATTCTTCCTTAGGTATACACTATAGACTCTAGATGGTTTTACCCTTCCTGTCCTTAGTCACTGTCTTGTGTGTGTTAATAACTTTTGCTGATCTTCTTTAATTCTCTTTCATTACTACATATTCCATAGATTTTGTTGTTTACCAATGCACTTGACCAAAATATTAAATTTAAGTCAATTATAAGTAAAATTTTATTTAAATTTTAAAAGTCTCCTCAGAAAATTTCTAAAGTACAAATTGATGATTGCCAATTAACTCTTCATGATCTATGTTTTTCAAATAAAATAGTCACTAAGATTACTCTACTTCCTTAAATGTTTTCATGCTTGTTTGAATTCTATACAATAATATGCCATAAATGTAAGGTTTTATGCAGCAACTTCATTTTTCCTTTATGTCAGCTCCATTTGAACTAAAAGATGATTGCTTAAAAGTGAATACCACAATGTGCTCATTTTCTTTTACATTTGCATTCTTAAGAGTTTTGCTATTCCATATTCTTGAATTTGCATTGTTGTTTAGGTACCATTGCCAAATAAAGCCTGACAAAGCAAACAGGAAGAAGCAGCAGGAGGGGCAGGAGGGGCAGGAGGGGCAGGAGGGGGGGGGGGGGGGGGGGGGGGCAGGAGGGGCAGGAGGGGCAGGACGGGCAGGAGGGCTGACACACTAATTCTGTTCCTTTTATCTGCCTAGCACCCAAAGACTTTAACCATGGAGGGCTTTGCTGCTGTCCTGTCTCAGCTGCTAGGGATTAACCTGGGGTTAACATATGATGATGTCTACAACTGCTTCTGTCCTGGAAGCACATGCATAATGAACCCTTCAGCAATGTAAGGCTCTTTTCCAGGTCAGGTGTCTGTAGAGGCTTAGGAAATACTTGCAGTGTGTTCTGACGTCCACTTTGTCAAAGTATCACTCACTAAGAAGAGCTTAAATGAATGCATCCACAATTACTTAAAGCATATGGAAGAGAATGAGCTCAGGGTGTTACAGAAAACATGCTTGCCAGTTCTTAACAGTCAGCAGCCAGTATGCAGCTAGTATATGGAGTGAGTGGGGCCTGCCCGATGGGTTCTTTTGTCAATATGCTTCTATGGAAGAAATACAGCAATGCTGGAACAGAGAAGGCTCGATGGCTCAACAGACCCGTGGATAAGGAGATTTGGCTATGTACATTGGAGTAGAGGGAGATGAAAGGTTACAAAAAACAAAACAAAACAAACAAACAAACAACAACAACATCAAAAACTAGACACTACAAAAACTATAAGGAAGAGTACTGTAGGCTCCAGGGAAACAAAGTAAAGTGCAACCTGGCTAAAGAGTCAGATTCAGGGAAAGAATAAGGAGATTAGAGAGAGTTGTGGGGCCTGAGTGTTGGGTGAGAATGTTTGCGGGGCAGAAGGAAAATAATAATCCCTCATTCCCCGCCGGGGGGGGGTTTTATATGTGCCCGCCCGGGGGGGGGGGCGGGCCCCCGGGGGGGGGGGAAACCCCCTCTGGGGGGGGGAGGGGGGTCCCCCAACCATCCCTGGGAGTTTATTAACACTGTGAAATAAGGCCATTGGAGTGTCACTCACCAGCTCTTGGCTATCACAATTCACTACTAAATATTGAGATATTCCAAATGGTTTTATTTGTTGCATCTGGCTTATTATTAGTTGTCTGTTAGGCTTTTCAATCAATTGGTTAAAATAAACTGTACAGATTGGATCTCAAGAACAAGTGTTCTAGAATGTACAAACCTTCAGCCGATGGGAGAGAATTAAAATTATGGACAGATGGTGTTGAAAGAAATTATGAGGTGAAAAGAGAAGTTATGGGAAGGGGGTTGCTGAAGGTCATGGAGGAAGAAAAGTGTGTGTGTGTGTGTGTGTGTGTGTGTGTGTGTGATGAAGGAAGGAGACTATAGAAGCAAATATGTCCAACCAGAAGTGTTGGTTTCAATCTTCCCAGAGGCTTTCATGTGCCAGAGAGGGAAAAACTAGGGGGAAATGCCCTCTCCACTACATGGCAGAGGGGAGTGTGGCAGCTAGTCCTACCCTCATACTGCATTGAAGCTTCTTGTAGTGATAATTCTGTTGAAACTAATGCAGGGCTATCATGTCTGCCCTGAAGCTGAGGCATCAGGCACTTGACCTCCCACTACTTTCTGTATATTGATCCTTGCAAATTGCAACAGAAAGAAATGCACTGCTTTGGTTATAACTGTCTTGCATTAAAACTAGAGATGCCTCTCTCTTCCTTGGCTCTCCTTTAAAGTGAATATTCGGGAATTCATACATGTTACTTGGGTCACAGTTGCATTTTATTTATCTGAGGGTTATTAACTTATTTTTAGACGTTCCCAGGGCATAAAGGTTTTTAGCAGTTGCAGCATGGATGCATTCAAACAGCTGGCTTCACAGCCTGACCTAGACTGCCTCAAGAAGAAACCAGAGTCAGAGTTTATCGCTCTAAACCAAACCAAATTGCTGTGTGGCAACAACAAATTGGAGGCTCCAGAGGAGTGTGACTGTGGCCCACCAGAGGTTAGTCACACTGTCCCAGCTCATCCCAACACTTGGTCTATGTATCATGTACACCCTTGTAGATTTATATATGATGGAAAAGGGGAGGACATCATTTTAAAACAGGCACTGATGATTTGTAGAACACGTGATGCTTGTCTTTCTGGGTCTAGATTACCTCACGACTAATCAAAGTGCAGAGTTGTTGGGGCCAGTCCCAATGGCTACATTTATGGAACACGACCGCAACTAAGGCTCGGGGGACATGGAAGAGAGGGTAAAAAGATTGTAGGAGCCAGAGGATCGGGGAGTTTGCAGTGAGATTGTGTCCCCTGTGATATAGGAGTTGTATCCATAAAGCCTTGCCAACATAACCGCCTAAACATTTGCTGAATGAGAAGGGCAACAATGAACACGATAAAGCAAAAGGGAAAAAGCCCTGGAGGCCTCAGCCATACACACCGCTCTGCCTATAACTAAGGGATGCTGGGGCGGGGGGGGGGGGCATAATCTTCCTCAGGGAGGAACACAGCAACTGATTATCCAACACCAATATCCAGCCCTGAAAACATACATGTAAGTAACATTCCATACACAGGGCAAGCGATATTTAAGAATATATATTTATGTATATATGTGTATATACATATATGCATATGACAAATAATGTATATACATATATATGCATTTAATAACAGTTAAAGACCATGAGATAAAAGAGAGCAAGGAGGGGTACAATGGGAGGCATTGGAAGGAGGGAAGGAATGGATAAATGTTGTAATTATAATCTCAGAATAATTTATCTTTCAAAACATATGTGGGAGTTTTTATTTATTTATTTTTTACTAGCGTATGTTTCATTATCTAAGACAAATTTTCACGTGCAAACTTATTTTGATAACATTCTTACCTTCTTTCAAATTCCTCCAGATCAGGGTTCTCAACCTTCTTAGTGCTGCAGCCCTTTAATATAGTTCCTCATGTTGGGGTGACCCCCAAGTTGGGGTGACCCCCAATATTTTCAATGCTACTTCATAACTGTAGTTTTGCTACTGTTGTGGAGTGAAATGTGAACAGGGGTTTCGACTTCAGGTTAAGAACCACTCCTCCATATCCTCTCCTAATCCCAACCTACCCAACTTTAAGTTCTTTCTTCAAAATAAGTAAAAATGCAGTACAACAAAAAAGCCCCAAACCAAGGAAACAAAATAAAACCACATGCAAAATGAGAAAAAAAAACCATAAATATTTAGAAGACAATTTGATACTATATCCATCTGGCAAAATGGTAGTCATGGGTTCTCTCTTAGGGCCTATGACTTGCCCAGCATTGGCCTCAATCAGAAAGTAGCTGGCTATCCCTATAATGTTCATGCCACTATGTGTTTCTCATTAAGCCAAATGTTTTAGCTCTCAAGTTTTACAGGTAAGTAAGATGGCTAATGGCTGTTCATTCCCCAGAAGCCTGAATAGCACCTTATGAAAACTAGCCAGCAGGGAAGAGGTCAGCCTTGGGTCTTCCAGGTCTTATGATAAAAGTATGCGGTGTCTTCAGAAACAGGGTCCTTCCATCAGGTTCTATTGGTTAATGATCTGTATTGTGTGTGTGTGTGTGTGTGTGTGTGTGTGTGTGTGTGTGTGTGTGTATTGGATTCTATAAGACCCATTGACCAACAACTCAAAGGGGTTACTTCACACCTGGTAACTGGACATTTTGTTTGATAACCTATGGTATCTGAAAGAGGCATTATCCCTCTGTGTGGTATAACTGCATCTAGACTCACATGTATACATTAGGAAACTTTGAAAATAGCATATTTTAAAGTAATATATTAGTTGCTATTGTAATACTGGTCTTCCTGTGCTGGAAGCATTCTATAAGAAAGTATGTATTAAAGGTAATGAAATAATATAAATCCATAGGTATTGGAATGATCCAGTAAGTTTGAGGAATGCAGGTACTTTTTTCTTTCTGTCTTCCAGGATAATGGGTGTATACTATAAACTACTTCAGCAATTTTATGACAGCCACACCACCATTGTTTTTCATCATCTGGGTCATTTTATGTATTGTAACTTTTAATAAATAGAAGCTGTCAGAGTCAGGATAACTTTTCTCCCCGTATAGTATCTAATTACTTAGGATAATTTGTTGAAAAGACCACTTTTTTCAAATTAATATATCTTGGTGGCTTTAGGAAGAAACAATTGTCTACTTTGTAATTTTAATTTATATTCTGAACTAGTATAGGCTTTTGAATATTAATTGTGTGCTTTTCTTAGTTCCTGAATGAAGTTTTTTCTTTCTTATGGCCCCTGGTTAAGAAAGAACAATCAGAGCAAGTACCACAGTTGGCTGGGAAGAAGTGAGAAGGGAAGAGTGTGTTCAGGGAGCCTAGAATATTCTCAGTAGAAAAGGCAAGGAGGGAACTGTAAGCAATAGAACTGGTGAATATGGATACTAAGGGACCGCTCTTCCCTCACAGGTAGGTCCCAGCTGCCAAGCGCCTGTGCATAGTGTGTTTTGAGAAGGGAAAATATTGGATTAATCTGTAAAAGCTTGACAAAGGAGGTGTTTTGGGGTATACACTTTGATTTGGTCAGTTTGAATGTAAAAGCTGTTGTAAAAAGTGGTTGTAACTATGCCACTTATTTGAAGAAATTGGCAATAAACAAATATCCAAAGATGAAAGAAAACACACAGAAGCCTTGACCTAGCCTAGACACACAGGATGAAGTGAAACACCATAGTCCTCCCCCTCCCCCCCCCCGTCCACCCCATGGTCAGGGCTATAGGGACATGTGCATGTTAACCTGACTGGTGGAAGGCTCGTCATGAATACTGGTGTGTAGTGCCCTATGCAGTGACGTTGCCCACAGAGTCAACAGACACCAGACACTGTTAGCTCCACTACAATGTTAGGAAACCACATTTCTAAATATGGTCTGCTGTTGGCAGGGCTGTGACTATTAGGGGATGTCTGTTAACTAGTGAAGATTCATTTGGCAGCCCACAGCTGTCTTTGAAAGGAGAAAAAAATCATATATCTGATTTCTAACTCCTACATTTACCTTGACCATATCTTCTCTAGCACTGTACCCATCCAAATTGCTGTAACCCCGAGGATTGTACTCTGTTAAAGTCTTCGAAGTGTGGAACAGGGCCATGCTGTGACAAAAGGTCATGCAAGGTAAGCTTCAAGCACAGAACCTGTCAGGAGTCTTTAGGGTATTTCTTTCCTAGTTTTTGGAACCATCCTTCACAAGCTTTAATTTGCATTCTCTTCGGAGAGCTTTCTTTTCTTCTAAGTCTTAAAAGTTAGAATATGACCACTTGGAGCACCCTCTTTCCCCCCAGGAAATTTGTCATTCTTCCTTGGGGTAGATACTAAGCATAATTTCTAATTCCCACTTTGTCCTTAATTTCAGCCTGTGGGTCACTTTCTCACCTCTACTTTTTATCATGTTTCAATCTGTCCCAAAGACATCTCCAGCTGTGGTATATAGTATCATTTAAAATTGTAGTGTCATGAATTTTTCTTCATCCTATCTGAATGCAGTTCTTTATGACCAAATAGCACACAACAAAATGAGAACTAATGAGTTCTGTCTGACAAAGCAGCAATGGCAAATCCCATTATGAAGACCATTAAAACGGGATTGGGGCAGGTGAGCCAGCGGCAGACAGCTGATAAACTGAAAGCTCTGGCTGGGTGTCTTCTCTGAGTTCTGGTGGTTAGAACCATGTGTTTTCAAGGTTCCTGAACAGAAAGGCCCATGTAGGGCATTCACACCTGACGACAGATGTGTACTTCTCCTGCTAGAGCCCGTCTGAACTTCTATTGCTAAGTCAGCTCTTCCATACACCCCATCATTTCATAGAGAAACTCCAGAGTGCTTGTCACTAGGAAGAGCCTGATGGAGAACAGCTAAATAGACTGGATGAGTCCAAACTCACTCTGTCAGATACCACAAGCTAGAAGCAGATCCCTGCTCACAGCCATTCTGCCTTATCTTCTTGTCTTTGCTGACTCGGAGTGGAGGAGGCCCTATTCTCTCCTCTGTGTTCTTACGAATAGGTGAGGGTCTGCCAGACCTTGTCCAAAAGTTGAGAGATTTGATCCAAGTGTTTTCCTTAAGGCTTTCTGTTTAGACACAAGTGTACACACAAAGCTATGATGGATATCAATAGAAGCAGCTGCTTCACCCACAGGCACTCGTGAGAAAGATGTTTGGAGCCAACACCTAGACACTCTTACAGGCCACTCTGAATGCAACTGTCACCACATTACAGTTTTGTTCCCCTGGTGTGTACACAAGAAAAGATAATGAATCCTTGAGTGGTATCTTCGCTCTGGGTGTATTTTGGGAATCTGATTTCTTGACGATTCTCAAACAAGCTCTCTTCCTATGTTGGAGAGATCCACCTATGCATCTTTTTCTTTTTTTCAGTTTTTTAAAGAAACTGAGTTTTAGTCCATATGGCATGAGCTTTCAAAGGTGTAGAGAAATCTTCTTTTTGCCTAACTCCCAGGAAGAGGAGAACCGAGTTACCCTGACAAAAGCTAGCCTGTTCTTTGTCTCTCAGATAGCCGAAAGGGGGCGCCCTTGTAGAAGAAGTAAAGACCTGTGTGACTTCCCTGAGTTCTGCAATGGATTATCTGAATACTGCGTGCCAGACACAAAAGCTGCTGATTTAGAACCCTGCAACAACAGGACTGCCTATTGCTATGGTGGGATTTGCCGAGACCTGGATAGGCAGTGCATGGATTTATTTGGAAAACGTACGAAATGTACCTTGTTTTTTTTTTTTTGTTCTTGGTGGGGAAGCTTCCCCCCCCCCTTTTAAAGCCACAAATCTATCCTGTAGCTTTATTATAAAATATTGATCTACATCCATATTTGAAAATCAAAGCAAAGCAAATCCTTTCCATGTCAAAAGACTATAACACTGAAAATATGAGGTAGGGTTGAGGCTATTGATGGGAGAAGAGTGGTGAAGTATGGCTTTGGGGAGAGGAGAGTGGCTTTTTCCTTAACACTATACCTCCCCCCACTTTAATAGTTAGTTTGTGATTGATTCTTGTCTACTGCTTGTATTTATACTTCAAGACACTGACTATCTCACTATAAATGTCCTACACTTTCAAGTATTGCAAATTACTTTTTGGCTTTTGACATGACAAAGTTGGAATTATTATTATTTTTTTCTTCAGATGCTAAGGGTCCTAATTACTTGTGCATGCAAGAAGTGAATAATCAAAATGACAAATTCGGAAACTGTCATGGACGCTGTAATTACAGGTATGTACTCAGCAGATTGCACATTTTCCATGTGTGGTTTGTCAGTCTCAAGAGGTGCACCTAGTGTTTGCAGGCAGGTCATGTGTTGCCTCTTATAATATGTACATGATCTCAAGAGCTTGCTATTATGGTCTGCCTTAAGGTTTTGAATTATCCCTATATATTGAGTTATTACTGAACGAATGGATAAGACAGCTAAGTGACAATATACAACTTTTCTGTCTTGTATTGCCAGTGCTTTGCTTTGTGGGAAAGTGGCTTGCTATTGGAACCACGTAGAAATCATTCAAACAAAAAAATATGATCTCCAGTATACTTACATTGGAGGCCAGGTGTGTGTGTCCGCACACTTAAGAAACACTAAGGAAATTGATGAAAGCTATGTACATGATGGTACCATTTGTGGTAGTGGCAAGGTAAATACACTTCTATATGATGTTTGTGCATTGTGTGTTTATAACGGATTTGTGAATGCCTATGAATGTGAACATACGTATACATGAGTGTTATGTGATTTCTCTTGCTTTATCATAATAACAAAGTTTGATGGTGTGCAACTAAAGAAGATGTAACAATATCCATTTGTTTGTGTGCTAACCAGTAATTAATATATAAAAGAAAAATCTGAGTTGCTATTAGTCAAAGAAGTTTTAATTTTGTTAATATTTTTTCTTAGGAATTTGGCTATTGATACTTAAAGTTGTTTTCTCTCATTTGAATTTGTTAGGCTATGATCTGGTTCAGAAAAATTTATATAAACCATAAACAAAAAGAGTCTAAAAACATACTAAAAAAAAAATCACACCAAAATGTCAGGTTGTCAGAATAATGTGAATAATAGTAAAGAGAAATAAAAGAGTTAAGTGTTTAGTCAGGGATAATTATTTCATTACTAACAAAGAACATTATCACTTTTCTATTTTCATAATTCCCTAACACTCCCAAATACAATTACTGTAAAATGAATTTTCCTTCTAAAAGACACAATAATAAAAGCATAAGGTTCAAGTGTCACTTAATTTTTTTCTTTTTGATGAAAATTCCCCAAAGTTTAACCAAGTGTTCAGATAAGTAAATTATGGGGCCTTAGAGCAAAAGTATAGGCCGAGGCTATACAAACAAACAAACAAAAAAACAAAACAAAATAAAAAAAAACAGAAGAACCTAAGTATTCCCACTAGACATTATTTTATTTTATTCAACAAAGGAATCTCAAATGACTGAGAGACACTTAGGTATTCAACATTCCTGGGAAAATGCAAATCAAAACAACTCTGAGATTCCATCTTACAGCTGTCAGAATGGCTAAAATCAGGAACACAAGTGACAGCTCATGCTGAAGGGAAAGTAGGGTAAGGGGACACAACTCCATTGCTGGTGGGAGCACAAACTTGTACAGCCACTTAGGAAGTCAGTGTGGTGGTTCCTCAGAAAACTGGGAATCCCTAACACAAGACCTAGCTATTCCACTCTTGGACATATATGTAAAGAATGCTCAATCATATCACAAGGATACTTGCTCAACCATGTGTTTATTTGTAATATCAAGAACCTGGAAATAGCCTAGATGTCCCTCTATCAAGGAATAGATAAAGAAAATGTGGTACATTTACACAGTGGAGTATTAGGTCACCAGGAAATTTGAAGCCAAATGGATAGAACTAGAAAAAAAAAAATCATCCTGAGTGAGGTAACTTAGACCAATAAAAATAAACATGGTATGAACTCACTCATAAGTGGATATTAGCTGTAAAATAAAGGGCAACTATGCTACAATCCACAGACCCAGAGAGACCAGGTAACAAAGTTACTTCATGGGGCAGGTGTGTGTGTGTGTAGGGGGGGGGGACCTAGGAAGACCCAGATCTTCCTAGGAAAGAGAAACAGAAGAGATTTTGTGAGTGGGCTGAGGGCAGGCAGGGATGGGAACATGAGCAATCATGTTGCGGGGTTCTGAGGGGAACTGCTGGGGAGCATTTGGGGGTTGGGAAGCCTGGGAGTAGAGGATTCTTCCAGGAGTCTATGGGGAGGTTGCCAGCTTAGATTCCTAGCCATAGTGGATAGGTAGCCTGAACTGGCAGTCACTATGACCAGATGGTTGTCTGACCCAAATGACATCTGTGAGACATCATCCAGTAACTGATGGAGGCAGATGCAGAGACCCACAGTTAAACATTAGGTGGAATTCTGTTGATAAGGAGAAAGGACTGCTAGAGTCAGGGGGTTCAAGGACACCATGGAATGGCTCACACAATCTACTAACCAGGGAGCCTGCATGGGACTGACCCAGGCATTCTGCATATTTGTTACAATTGTGTAGCTTGGTCCTCTTGTGGGACTCCCAAGAGAGGGGACATGGACTTACTGGCTTTTGAGACCCTATCCCTCATACTGTGTGGGTTAACTTGTCCAGCCTTAATCTGTGGGGAGGGGCTTAGTCTTACTGCCACTTGATATGCCATGTTTGATTAATAACCATGGGAGGCCTGCACTTTCCTGGATGGAGACAGAAGAGGAAGGGGCTTGGGGCAGGAGGGGGAATGGAGAGATGTGAGAGAGGGACTGGAAGGAGAGGATGGGGGAGGGAGGCTGCAGCTAGGATGTAAAATAAATAAATGAATAAAAAAAGAAAAACCAAGAGGAAAATGCAAATTAGTAAAAGACTTAAGATAGAAAAGGTTAAACAAACAAACAAAAAACCAGATAATCACAAAGGAGCATCCTGGTTCAAGAGTACCTTTAAAAACCAGAAATATTTAATATAAATATTGAAGTTATAAATACAAAACTGAAAATATAAACACAAAAAGTATATTTGGTTTTTATACATATGCTGTGGTCTCATCTGCTCTGTTAAATCTCAGAGTGACAAGCATGTTCTTTGTGGCTCCTATTAAGCCCTTTGGTCACACCTGAGGGTTTTAGTTATTTCCTTCCTGAGGTGAGCAGAAAGACTAAGCCTGAGACCCCTAGACACCCCTGCCAGGACAGGATGAATCTTTGATTTTCTGGGATCAAATAGATACTGTAAGAACACAGATACTGTAAAAACATAATGCTAATATTAATAACTTCAGATAATCTTCTTATCCCCCATAGTCCATCCCTCTTTCTTTTTGAAACACTTGTCCTATCCAAATCTAGCAGATGTATCTATACACACACATAAACAAACAAACAAATAAACAAAAAAACACAGCTTTTACCTCAAAGGGAATACATGGCAGTTTATTTTAAAGCCAACTTTGAGTGACCATGGTCCAGGAATCCCAGAGTTACCTCAGATTCCATGTTCCTACTTGGAGGTAGTCTCATGGAGGTTTTGTAGCAACAGAACAAATAAAGTAAAGAATTAAAGGAATTTTAAACTACATTGGAGAATACATCAGAGAGGTGTTCTTAGCTTTGAGGTCAGTGGAAGCTGGTTACCTGCCAAGTTAATAGATTTCAAAAGGGTTTTATCTGTTAGTTATGGGATGTTAGTTCCAACACAGAGATGGACAAGGATAGAGCTAGCCCAAGTCAAGACAAGGAGGCTCTAGGCCCGAAATTTCCCAATGTCTTCATATCACTGTAATTCTAATCAGCCAACCAGTTTCTTTCCAGTAATTCTCATCCACAGACGTAATGTCATAATTTAATTGATTTGTGGGATACCTAGTTGGTGTCAGAATGTTTGATGATACCAGAGAGAATACAACTTAAGCAGCAAAAGTTAGGAACTGATGAGACAAAGAGTACACGTTAGGAGCATTGATGTCTGACTTGTTTGTTGTTCAGTAAATATCAAATTAATGATGTATTGTCTTGTTACTTGAATTTCGGGGGTCCCTTTGTGGTTGTCCAATGATACAGGGTGAATCGGGCTCTCCACTTGGGGTTCTTAGTCTTGCTAGTAAACAAATTTAAGAAGGGCTCAGATGAAAGCTCAAGGTCAATTTTATTAGCATTGAAAAGAAAAACCTCAGGGCAGGCAAGCTGCAAGGAAGGAGGAAAAAAGCCATGCCATCTAAGCAAGATGGTCAGACACATGGTGGACAAGCAGCCCAGCAGAGAAGATGAAGCTTTACAGAAAGGGGGAAGCCAGTGTGTTAAGGAAAGCATGCTTAGAGGAGAGAAAAGAGAAAGGGAAATGCTAATTCACAAACGCAGGAAAACTTAAAACTCTACATGGCTGTAGCCCATATGTTCATGCACCAGGGGCTGGGACCCTGGGAAGGAAAAGTTCTATATCTCATTACAGGAAACCTGTTTCCTTCATGGACCTCAAGGCGAGTCCCAGTTCTTAGGGGTGATTCTCGGTCAAGCAATGGCCCCAGCCACCTGGAATGTTACTTCTCCACCTGGGCCAGAGACTCAATTATTCTCACCAGTTCTTTTTCTATTCTAATAGGAGTAGACTCTATGTATTTTTAATAGAGTAGTGTTAAACTGATTTTTAGATATTAAGAAATATAAAGTGGTATAGAAAAAAATCAAGACACAATGAATGCCAGTTATAGATTTGTCAAATAACTTAGTCTATGCAAAATATAAAATAATTTCCCTTTTTAAGCTTCAGTTTTGGAAATTCTTTTAATGAGACAGTTACAAAAAGGGCATTGGGAATTTTGGGATGTTAAGTTGAAGTGAACATAGGATCTGGAGATTTCTGACCAAGGGCTGAAGAGATAGCTCAGCGGTTAATGGTGCCTACGGCTCTTTGCCAGCACCGAACTTGCCGCTTCACAACTGTAACTTAAGGGCAGGGTGCCCCATACTTTTGGCCTCTGCAGACATTGTACTTAACTGCACACCACCCCACTCTCTCACATATACACATAAAACCGAGAGAGAGAGAGAGAGAGAGAGAGAGAGAGAGAGAGAGAGAGAGAGAGAGAGAGAGAGAGAGAAGAATCCCAGAGGGTACACAGCCAGTTAAGGCTTCGAAGAGACATCAAGCTTGCTTGATTTGCAAAAATAAGCAAGCTATAACTTGGAGGTAATTTTTAAAATAAGTGCCTATGATAGAAAAGTTAAGCTAAAATAAGCAGAAGCAGTCAGCTAACTTGCCATCATCTGACTAAGGATATCCCAAAGCATAGAACAAATAAGGAAACTAGAGAGCTTCATTCAGCCTATCAAATCCAGTATTTCTTTGTCCTTCCTTCTGTGTCCACCCATAAAAGCCCCCCTCTGTCCTTCTTCCCTGCAACTTCTGAGTCTCTTCTGGTGTGGAGTTGCCCGGTTCACAAGTCCACAAATTTCACCTTTTACTCACACTACACTTCATTTAATTGTGCCTCGGTTTATCCCTCTAACAAAGACCGTTTGTCCCACGTGAAACACTCCATCAGCTCATTTGAGAAAAGTCAGCCTCTCACCTTAGAAAATGCATCAAAAGACATTGAAAGTCAGTTAAACTTTGGGTAGGGAAATACCAACGTGAGTGCAGAGTCCACATTAGTACCAACTGCGTATTTGCTACCAGAAGCTATTGCATCCTCCTAACCTGGGAGGTATGTTTATATAATCCTGAGCTCATAGATGATATAACCTGATCTATGGAGGGTTCCACAATTCACTCTGGGCTAAAACAAAAGGTGAGAGAGTATCTTTAGCAGTGGGGGGAAAATGTGAGCAATGAGCTCTGGTTTTAGCACAAGTTGGCTGTGTTTGTTCTTATAACAATTCATTGCTGTGAATGTGGGTAACTGTTTTGGGGGGAAAACTGCATCTTATTTTCAAAATACAAACCCTATGAAGTATGCATGTACACCCTTGTTTTCATTAGAATGACTAGACAATGTTATGAAATGTAAATCAACCCACTCTACATATGCTATCCCTGTACCTAAGTTTTGTACAGCTAGATTCTGCACTTGAACTTTCTGCTGTTGCTTAACTTCAGCACTTTTAGCTTTACTATGCTTTTCAGGCTTGTATCCGAGGGCAGTGCTTGCGTGTGCATGCCTACAGAGGAACTTTAGCGTGTGACTCCGATGATAAGTGCCAAGGACAAGGGGTATGTAGCCATTTTGTTTTTCATTTAATATGATAATTTCAATTTACTTTTCCAGGATCACCAGGTTCAGAATTATTTGATGTGGAAATTCCCTCCAGAAAATTTCAGTTAAATGAGGAATGTAGGCTGTACTATTGACACAGGCATACACGATTTGTATGCACCATTAGACTGTCACAGATCAACTGAACAAAGAAGCTCTGAAATATATATTGTCGCCACGTTTGGTTATTAGCATAGAACTGAATATTATCAAGCACCACACATATATGTCACACCCATGAATCTGTGTGCTTTCTGGGAATGTAGGTGCTCAGACACTTTGTTCGTTTTAATGTATACATTACTTCTCATCTGACATTTAAGACATCAGAGTTTCCTATCTACTCAGATTAGGTTTGTCTTTCAATGACCTCAGTTAATTGCCATTGTAAATTCACACACTGATAGCCTTCAAATAACATGTAACTATTAGGAATACTGAAAAAAACCCAGTTATTATTGTACATTCAAATTACTCCATTTCCCCAAATTATAGGCAATGAAATCTAATGAGCCAAATATAGGTAACATTTCCATTCTTTTTAAGAGTGTTTTGTACCCGCACAGCCTATCCCTCATATTCCGGTGAGACTGTTTTATGTCTTGCAATTGTTAATGACATCTTCCTAGTCACATGTGTTTCAGTTCTATCTTCCAAGCTATTGTGAAATTATGTGGTGAGTTATGGGAGTTGGGACGTTTTCCGACCATGCATTTGCTTAAAATGTGCCAGCAGGTGTCTTCTTCAAAACCCGTGCTCTTTATAACAATCTAATTAGAATTTTAGTTTAACTCATTTCACTCTCTGTGGGGCTGACTGTGAAGTCCCCCCTCTGCTCCTGACCTTCTTTTTTATTTTTGCAAGAGTCTTCTGTATGAGTTAATATTTGCCTTTGGCCCACTGGCTCCTTCCAAGTATTTTCTTTCATCTTCCATAGAAGTTTTCTCCCATCACAGCTTGTTTTATAAGTCTAAGATAGTAATACATTGTGATCACCACCAATTTACATTCTTCATCTTTCTAACAAGTCATTTCAATTATATCAAGAACAATATAACTTGGATTTAGAACCATGACCGACAAATAGGATTTTGCACATTTATCCAATCATTACTGTTTTTACTTTCATATTAAAACTACTTAAAGTAAACTACAATAGTTGATTAATTTACATGTCCTAATTATGGATAATAAATGACCTTTCTACTTATACATATATAAGCACTTGGGTTGCTCGGTGTTCATTTGGATCTGCTTTTAGATTTGCAACAATCTAAATAACTGCCACTGTGAAGCTGGCTTTGCCCCTCCAGAGTGCGACATGACACCTTCATCTCCAGGAGGGAGCCTGGACGATGGATTTTGGCTGCCCATGGGTAAGTGTCCAGAGCAGGGCCTGCACATGTGTAAGTACACGCCATCTCAGCAGCTCGCTGAGGCCGTTGAAGATTTGACGTTTCAGGAGCAGAACTGAGAAGTTGATATTTCTACTGGGCTTTACTTCATTTAGATCCACAGATCTAGAAGTGTGAATATTTAACAAACCTTCTTCCTCTGATTTTGTTGTGGCTTGCAGAACATGCATTTCGGAAATGAGGAGAACTTATACAGTCTGTATTGACCCAGGGAGTTATATATGAAAATGTGATGAGTTGCATGTTTAAATGTTTAAAAACTGTGTGTGAGTGTGTGTGTGTGTGTGTGTGTGAGTGTGTGTGTGTGTGTGACAGAGAGACAGAGAGAGAGAGAGAGAGAGAAAGAGAGGGGGGAGTGAGTTTGGGGGTGCCTGGGATAAATGAGATTCCCTGGAGCTGGAGTTACAGGCCTAATGTGAGTGGCCCAATGTTGGAGCTGAGAAGCAAATTCAGGTCCTCTAGGAGAGCATTAGCTACTTAACTACTGAGGCATCTCTCCAGTCCTGGCATGTTTTAAATTAATTGTTCTGTTTAATGTGAAAGTACCCAAATCTTCTATGCCCTCTGATGGTGAATATCATGTGCCACTGAAAGATTTTTAAATGGTGTTGGTGGAAAGCCATGAAAACCACTGCCCATTTGATTTTATCATGCCTGTTCTGTACAGTTATGACTTTATGCTGCCACATACACTTGCTGTATGGAGTCAAGTATGCCAATGTAACCATTTTATTTATAACTAATTTTGTGTATAAGTAACTTTCTATAGTAGCTTGGTGCAAAAGGAGCTACAGACTGGGAGGTTAAAGTAAGAAAAATATCTTAGGAAAGCTGCTAAAATGCATTCCTTCAACCCAGTAGGATGGATTTTTTTTCTTAGTAGATGAACTAGAGAAAGATTTACTTTCTTAATTTAAGGAAATTTACTTTCTTAATTTATTTAGTTGAAATAATTACATTAATTATTACAATGTTGTCCTATATTATAGTTTTACAATTTAATCTATTAATTTATCTTAATCATCATTTATGTCAGTTTCAATTCTAGATTTAGCAAATCAAATCTTATTCTTACTGATTTTATTTTTCTTCAATTCTTATGTATAGGTATTTAAGGCTATAGCTATACAGATAAAGATTTCTTAGATATGTAAGACTTTAAATACCAAAGTGCATATGATTTTTGATATAGCATATCTTTAAACATTTGTAAAAAAAAAATTGTGTGGTGTATGTGCACACACATGTTTGTAAACATTCATGCATAGACCAGAGCAGGGCATTGGGCCTGTTGTTCTCCACCTCATCTTTTGGGATGGGGACGTTCACTGAGCCTGAAGCTCCCTCCATTTTGGCTAGGCTGGTTGGCCAATCTCTGCCTACCAATGCTGGGCCACCTTCTTTTTACTTGGCTTCTTTTTATTGTAAGCAACTAAACCCAAGAAGCCCCAAGTGCTGGAATATTGACTGATCTTGTACAGGTTTTGTGCAGGTAATCATAGACACAGCGGGTTATTCCAGGCCCAGAAGAGGGCACCACATGACACTCTTCCCATCCTCTGGCCTCTGGCTCTACCATTCCTTCTGCCAGGTCTTCTGAGGGTTAGGGGCGGGTCTTGATATCTTCTGAGGGTTAGGGGCGGGTCTTGATATAGACATCCCTTTTAGAACTAGGAACTAACTCAACAGCTATTTACTGTCCAGCTTCTTGGCTTCATTGATCACTCTCATGTTTCTTTTGTGTTGTTTCCTTGGGAATTTATCTAATGCACACTCACAAGACTCCATCACTAAGGAATTAGTAATATGATTTCCACACCTGGAGTTTTCATGTTTCCTCATGATTCCGTGTTGAGAATCATAAGGATATAGGCCTTTTGATTGGGATTTTTTAACCACCCACATTGAGAGAATGGAGTTGAAAAGGCTCAGAAACAGAACATGTATGAAACAACTGAATGATTTTAAAACTACAAACAATTAAATACAAGGGTGAAGATTTTTGAAACAACAAAATAAGAGTACAGTTTAAAAAAAAAACAAACAAACCATAGCTTCAGGCATCATCATTTTCTTGCTAAAATTTGTGTTGTTTATCTATCTGGTTTAAGAGACCCAATATTTTCATGCAAAAGAATGTTTGAATTCATTTACTGCACATAAGAATTATTTTAAAATGAACCAACAGTATATAACAGTAAAACCGAGAAGTCATAGAGGACAAAACAAAGTAATTCAGATCACTCACTGTCTGCGTCAATCAGAGTTTTTGAAATTAAATGGCATTTTCACATTTTCAGATAGAAGCACACCTTTGGTTGTCCAGCAACGTGGTACTCGCTTTAAAAAGGGACTTCTGATCAGTTTCTATGTTTTTCTACCTTTCCTCATCATGTTTGCCATCTTTGTTGTTAAACGGAATATCACAAAGGGATTCTGGCAGAAGGAAGAGGCTGTAAGTGGAGGGTAGGTATACGTGTTAATATATAAAAATACCTTATGGAGGTATCTGAACCCAGTTAAGTAATATAAATATGGCTTTTTGGATGAATGTTGATTGTAAAAATTGCTAGAACTACTAAGCATAAGGTTTTCAGGATATACCAAAGCTTATTCCAATTTTCATGTCCCGGAGCAATCCAGTAAATCCTCAAGACCTTTCAATGAAAAATTTCTAGGCAACCCAAGTATCCCCACGATGCAAGTCCTTTTTATACCCAGAGGCTCAATAGAGACAAATTGGGAGCAGATCTGCAAATAGCATACTTAGAAGGCAAGAACAAGGCAGAGCAAGGCCAGGGGCACTGCTATAGAATGTGAATGCATTAATTATTACTAGTGTGTTTCTAAACTGCAATTAAAGGTGTTGTGTAGCTTTTGTCTCAGTCATAATATGAGTGCAAGCCACACTGTTTAGTGGGGATTCAGGGAAATCAGAATGCTGAAGCGAGGTTAAACAGGGAGTCTTGTAGTCCTGTCCTGTAAGAAAACAATGATTCCTAATTTCCAGTACCATCTCTAGTTCTCTGATTAGGTAAGGAGGTAGCAGCAACTAGTTAAATTCAGGGCAATGTTCCTGATGATTTATGTAGACATCTACAAAATAATCAAATTGTTTGAGTCACCAAATTACATGACAATTGCCATAAAGAATCCTGTATGTGCTGTTGGGACATTTTGGGAAAATCTGGATAATTACCAGAAATTTTGACTGCAGACAAAACCTTGTCAAAGCAGCATAAGATTTACAAATTACGTGGCTTCAGGTTAGCAAGAGGCCAAACTGAAATGGAGTTGAGGTACAGAGCGTGGCTCTTAAGCACCCCATGGATGGTGATTGCTGCACCTGCCCTTGACTGACACATTGGTGCCAATCTTTGTTTCCCTTTTCAAACAGATTACCAAACTCCTATCCATGCTCACAACCTTTTAGGACATACTCTCCAGACGGAGCAGTAAAGAAGTTTGCAAAAATTGCCTAAAGTGACCTGTGTTCTACTTGGATTGATGGTCCCTAGTTATGTGTTCAAACCTGATGCCACCATTCGTGGCCCAGAAGGACCTTGAACACTATAACGACATGCCTAGTGCTTTATCCTTGTTGTGCCCAAGTTTTGAAGAACCCTAGTGACTACCAAGGAGACAGACTCACCAAACTGCAAACATAAGGCTTTATTGTTTAATCCTACCAGTAGGGATTCTGTCTGGCAGGCTGGTGAAACAGCTTCCAGAAGGAACAAAGAAAAAAAAAATCACAAGATACATCAGTAGGTATGGGTCAGATCCTGATTGGTTGACATTTGTGGAATAATTAGGGGAAATTCCCAGAGTCAGGGCAGCTGGTTTGTTAGCATTTTTGATTGGTTGGCTACAGATGGGAACATGGGTAGTTTCTATGGCTTTGTCTGTTCTCATTGGTTGGTGCTGGGAGGGAGCATTCTGTGGCTTCTGTGGCTTTGTTCATCTCTTGGAGGTAGTCTGTTGGACATAGATACCAGGGACCAAGACCCTGGATCTTCTTTTTGATTAAACATAGTAACTAAGTCTAAGAGGAAGGTGGTCTTGGAGTTTTTGCTCACAACATAAGAACTAAAGGCTAGGGGACTGAATTTGTTCTGAAGGCTTTTCTATAACCTTTACATGTATATAGTTTCTCTCTAATAAAAGTTGAATGGGAACTTAAGGCTTTGTCACATTTATACAATTTCTCCCTAGTATGACTTATTAGAAACGAAGCCTTTGAGTTTAGTTTACCTCCTTCAATCCTCGAGTGTTATAAGGAATCAAGAGCTCTGCTAAAGGTAGTTGAAATATCTTATTAGAAGCCTTGCTGATGAAAATCCATCTAAATATTTATGTATAGTTATTTGGTGGAAACAAAATTAGAGAGGGGTAAGACCCTGAAGATATATATATATATATATATATATATATATATATATATATATATATGTGGGTATATATAAATATTAACTGCTTTGATGGTTATTTTAATATCACATCAATTTCCATGTAGACAAGATAGAGGGGAATAGTGGTTAGACTGTTAGTTTTGAAATCAAAAATATAAACTAATAAATAATAACAACCCAGAAAAGCACATAAAAGTCTTTGAAAGTTAGGATTTGGAAAGACAAAACACTGGAATGTCTTATTATTAGCCGTCACAGGCAAAGGAGGCATTGACACACAGCAATTGATTATTTAGTTCAACTCTGGTTTATGGCACTTTTCTGTGATTTTTTTTTTTCTTAATGACAATGTTTATAATCCTGAAAACAATCCTATCTCTTTTGAACAGATCAATTTCAGAAGAAAGTAATAAAGGCAGCATCCAGTCATAGAGTCAAAGGTGACTGAAGACATCCATTTGCTGACAAAATGTTGTAACTATACTCTGGACAACCCCTCAGCAGGAGTCCAGAGATGTTTTTGTATTCCTGGAGCAGATTCCTAATTGCTAGTTTCACATGCTGCAACAAGGCCAGCAGAAAGCCTTTGCTCTTAGCATTGTTTTACATTGGTTGGGAAAGTTTCGATGTAAACTGCTAGTAATCAGATCTTTATCAGAATCTCTCGAAAGGAACGTTGAATATTTTCTTAAAATCTTTGCAAACAAACACACTTCTTCACTGAAGGATGTACTTTGCAAAGCTACAGGAGGTTGTCCTCTGACATTTACATATTCTCCATCACTAAGGCTCTATGGGAATTGTTACCCTGATTTACATATGAAGAAGTAGATAGGAGAAGTTGTAGTACTGCCTCATGCTTACAAGATGTCAGTAAGTCATGTGGTTGTAGTTTAAGGCATGCATGCCTCTCAATTTCAAACTGTTATAACCAACTTGGCACATACACCTCACAATATGCCTGGTAACAAGGGGTGAAATTTACGTTGATGGAGGACCAGGAAAGAGAATAAGGGCACAACTTCTTGCAAAACAGAAAGACAATCCCTCATCATAAGACAAAAGAAAGGAGTTATCCATATGTATTTTACAAAATTTTGACTCACTTATGTAAAAATTAAAGGTATTTTATAAACGTTGGGGTTGGGGAGTGGGAGACACACCAAGACTGAAAGTTTCTTAATTAGAATTGTAAACACCTCAGCACCAATCCCATTGCCCATATCTTGGCAGTATGATCAAACGAGATGCCCAGATGACATCAGAGGTAGTGTTAGAGCTGCCAAAAGTCTACCGCTGGTGTTACTCCCAGGCACACAGCTAGTGGAATTCTAGGGGAAATATCTGGGTGCACATTTTAAGGGGTAGCTTTCTGACACATGAATACCCCAGATAAGAACGGAAGCCAGATTGCTTGGTTACTGGCAAGGATGACAGTATGGCTGATAGAGTTAGAAGCCATACAGCAGATAGGATTACTAAAACCAGAGAAGAAAAACTCAGCAGGTCCTTGAATAAAAGGCAAGATTCACTGTACCACTGAGAATGCAAACTTCTGCTTTAAATGCTCAAAGAGGGTAGTCTCATTTTACTTTGGGAATAATGTACTATATACGGGTAGAAGTCTAGATGCTTCCTTAAGGGTGGGAAGGATAGCTGGTGAGAAATTTTGAAGGCAAATCAATATATTTCCTTAAGAAACACTGATAAACTGGATGGCGGCAGTGCACGCCTCTAATCCCAGCACTCTGAGGAGGCAGAGGCTAGTTCCAGGACAGCTAAGGCTACAGAGAGAAACCCTGTCCTGAACCATCCCCCCAAAGAAAAAGAAACACTGATAAAATGTTTGTTGGTATACAACAGGAGGTCAGCACCACCACTTTTGCTGACCAAAACAACCAACAAGAACCAAAAAAGTAGAAAGGATAAAATGCAATTTCCTAAGTATTGGATACAGGCCTTCTCTGTAGCCATAGTTTGTTCTCTTATTACTCTTCTAAAAATGGATTTCTGAGCCTATGAATACTAAGAGAAAATATACAAAAACAAGCCACAAGCCAATCATGGACAGGCTTTCAGATGCCATGATAAGAGACTCCATTTATTCATACCTGAATGGGCATGCAGCCAAAATATTTCTGAAGCAGCAAGAGCAGGATTTGGCCTGATGTAGTATATTTTGTAAATTCCTTGGTGTATGGTGGGGGAAAATAAATGGAGCCACCAGGAAGACAGGAGGAAGCCTGTTGACCCCACAGTTAAGGTTCAGAAAGGGCAAGTCTGGGTCACAGGATTAAAAAAAAAAAACAAGAATAATGACAAAAAAAAAAAAAAAATGGGGAGATGACAGTTGAAACAGAGTGAAGATGTGGCTGAGTCAGAGTGAAAGAAAAACCATAAAAGACCTCAAAATTGGGGGCAGTTTGGATAGAGACACTTTCCCAATGATGGAGGACATTCAGTAAGAGCCATGTGTAGACATTTGAGTGGTGATCTCTCTCTCTCTCTCTCTCTCTCTCTCTCTCTCTCTCTCTCTCTCTCTCTCTCTCTCTCTCTCTCTGTGTGTGTGTGTGTGTGTGTGTTTGGGGGCTTGAGTTTGACCGATGATCCTTTGTAGGGGAGGCAGCACTGATGATGCTCACAGAGGGTTGGGAAACCCTTTTTCTGCTGGATATCGAGCAGGAAAAGACTGAGTCCTGCATTGCTTCTGTATCCTGTTGATGGTTTTCTTTTTTAAAATCTATAATACAGTTACATCACCCCCTGCTCCTTTCCTTTCCTCCTCCCAAGCCCTGCCATAAACCCCTCCTTGCTCTCCTTCAAACCCACAGTCTCTTTCTTCATTGATTTTTGCATGCTCCGTGTGCACTTCGGCCCTTGTATATATGGTTTCAGGGCTGGCCATTTAGTATCGGATAATCACTTGTTGTGCCCTATCCTGGGTGAGGCTGTTTCTCGGCTTCCCTTAGTTACCTGTAGTTCTCTGTGTAGGGTTGTGGCCTCCTGAGCTTTCCCTCACCTGCTTTAGCATTCTACTGTTGTCCTCCTGCAGCTCATGTCTAGGCAGTCCTGTTAGTGAGATGTTTACGGGTGTAGCTTCTGACACCATTAGGAGACTCAATCTCAACAGCAAACTCCCTGGTCCTTTGGTTCTCACAGTCTTTCTGTCCCCTCTCCCACTATGTTCCTTGAGCAAGGGAGTGTTCTGTAAATGTGTTCATCAGGACTGGTCTCCCCAACCCTGCATTTTGATTGGTTGTGGTTTTCTGTGATGGTCTTTGTCTGTTGTAAGGAGTAACTTCCTTGCTGAGGGGTAAGGACTACACTTACCTGTGGGTTAAGGACAGATATTTGAAATGTAGTTAGGGATAATGCTGGTTTAGTAAAGTGTTGGTTCTAGGTTCTTTTCCAAGATCCATGACTTAACCAGCCCTGGGTAGTTGGCTAGGTTTCCAGTATCAGGCATGATTTCCCTCTTGTTGAGTGAGTCTTAAGTTTAGTTAGAGAGCTGTTGCTCACCACTAGGATATGGATGCCACCACTGCACCCTTAGGGTTATTGTGCCATGCTAGTTGTTATCATTCATGGGCATCACAGCTGGGTAGAAGTATTGATTGATTGCTTCCTTTGGAAGTTTGCATGTATTTTTTGATACTATGGAAACCAGTCCTCAGGAAGGGAGTATTAAAGTAAGTTCCAGCTCAGGGGCCTCTGGGATCTGTGTCTGAAGAGCATGGTATCTTCAGCAATAGGCACTTGTATTCTAGATGGTTTTCTTTTACTTAGGTAAAGTTTAGGAAATGCAGCTGAAACAGGTAAAGCCCATCTGACAACATGCCCTTTCCATGCAGCCATTGCAAACTACTTATATACAGAACAAAATAAGTTGATTAAAAAAACAAACAAACAAACAAACAAAAACCTTAGTTTTACAAATTGTGTGGATAATAGCTTAGAGAAGGTCAGAGTAAGTACAGTCATGTACTTTGTTACGTTACTATGTTAATTTATTATGTTAGTTAAATTTCTATACCTATTGTTGCATAGTATGAATTGGATAGCCTTTTAAT